GGCTGGGAGTTTGACGTCATGCCAACAAAGTATAGTCACATCTAAACCGTAATCAATTTCCACACACATCACTTTTCTTGTCCTCTACATCCTTGTGACTCCATGGGGTAGATGCTGCTGCTGACTAAATGAGGAGCTTCTAGACCTCATTCTTCTCTGGGAGGTCAAGGATGCATGGAAGGCCTGTGTATATTTGAGATAATAATCTTGACACTGGCCGACTTGCTACAGATTCTCTGAATTGTATTTCAGTATAACTCCACTTGCCGTTTTGCATATTATTTAGTGCTACACAATGATTTAAAGATGCCAGTTTTGGGGCTTTTATGTCAATATAATCAATATAATCAATATCATTTACATGTGCTGTATACCGTAGATGCTACTGGATTAAACTGTTTTTTTTGCCGCTCACACCAAAGAATTACTGTAAAAAACCGTGACAAGCAGTTTTACCTTAATGAATGCAAATCAAGTGAAAATCTTGCAACTGACACATAGGTTGTATCACAATAATGTTACTATGAGCTGTAAAATTCACTTGACAGCTGTAACGCAGCTTTTGTACATGTTTAAGATGTGTGTTAGTCTAGAAAATGAAATAAAAGTGTGTACAGCCATGCTGGTGGGCTTAAGCTCTGCTGTGCTTTGAGCTAAATGCTAATGTCAGCATCCTAACACGCCCACAGTTATAATGCCAGGATGTTGATGCTCAGCAGGTATATATTCAACATCTTGATTCAGTTTAGTTTAAATGGCATGTGATACAAATGTGCATTTTGTCAAAATTTCAGTTGCAGGAATAATGTTTTAACTCAACAGCTTTGAAACCGTTGGACCCTCGTCTTTATTCAGATAAGTGTCGCCAAATATTCCTGTGGATGGACTTTTGCTCATACACTGCAACTGAAGTTAAACATAAAACTCTGACCAAACCTAGCCAACATTTCTCACAGAATGAACACTGTTGCAAAAAAAGCAACATCACAGTTTTATTGACCACAGTGAGCGATGGCATGGGCTTTTAGAAATGCTTTCCTGCTACATTTTACATCTTTTCTTTCTGTCATGCATTTAAAGGAAGACCAACAGGACCGGCTACAGATCCTATTGTTGTGCACACAGTCACTCTGAGATTAACACACTGCACCGAGGCAGCACAATAATAAAGCCAGGATTGAATTGGAACAATGTCAGCAGGGCCTCCGTATTCAAGCCCACTTTGCAACGGTCACCTTTAGCAATATTCACCACTTTGCATCGGCTAAATGTGACGTACAAAGTAAAAGTCCTTGTGATATAGCAGCATTGTATTAGTCACAGTGCACCTCAAAGAATTATGAAGAGTATAGTCGGTACATGGAGGTAAAAACATTGTCTAGATACAAGGACCAGTTACTACAATATGAAAATATTACATTTGCTTCAGAGAAACAATCCATCATGAAAAGGAAGAGCATCACAGGTTGGATAACTTGAGTTTTTGGGTCTCTGGAGGCGGCGGGGTGAAACAGCACAGCATTACAATGATAGTCGTACCTGAAGAGTTCTTACCCCCGTTAGGAAGGGAGGAGGTGATCTGCTTTTTGTTCTTCTCATCATCATCAGTCTTATGAATCAATAGCCTTGAATTCAATATTTGGTACAGGAAATGACACAATGTTTAAAAATGAGCGATAAAGTACGAACAGGAATAATCAAGTCCCCATAAATAAGCAATGCACGGATATACGTACAATGTTCTCAACAGCTTATCATACAGACTGTAACAACTTTCCTCTTTTCAAATGCAAAACACAAACAGAAGTTGTTGTTTTTTTACACACACTGACACTCACAGAGACACTGGCCCTTCAGTTAGTATGAATTAAAGAGAAAATGTTCGTTAGCCTTCGATGCGTTTCTCCAGTACAAACGTCTGAGGTCAGCACTGACTCAACTGCACAGCAAGTCCATACAGCCTGGAATTGAATAAATTGCTTCGACAGCCATTTTGCATATAAAGTCTGTATAAAACTCAAGGAGCAATAGCAACAGGCCCTCTTCAAAGGTAAATACTACACCTACTGTGAGCTGAGCTGGAGAGACTGGAGGAGGGAACAGCATGTTTGGTTGAAGTCTCTCCAGCTGAAATAAAGGCGAGAGGTAAAAACAGGAATGCGGTATGTTGACCCACGTGTACTGAGGTCTGATAACAGTGACACTGTAGTACTGCAACGCATAGCACGGCTCAAGATCCTTATTGACGCTGCAGAGTTGGAAGATGGCATTCTGTCCAAACAGCCTTTCATACAAAACAAAGATTCATGTAAAAAAAAAAAACAACTGTAAGTACACAGTTACAGTAAGTTTGTATACCTAACACGATGAAGCAGTTTGACTGTAGAAAAATATATAGCCTATATCAAAGTCACTTTGACAGAAAATAAATCCAACAAGCAAAATTCAGGATCATTTATAAAGTCATAAATATAATGACAACACGGGAGGACCAGATTACACAAGGCTAAACCGAAGGCATTTTGGTTGTAGAAACTTGGAACAGGGTATTTTGCTAAAATCTGGAAAAGGGGCAACTGGAATTTGGTTAAAGTATTTAAGGAATTAACAACAAATACTCATAAAGCGTGTGAACTCTTAATTCAGGTGTAAACGTTTGTATTTAGTCGCGTACACTCAGATTTGGACTTGTCCGGGTGTTTATGGACCCACAAGGTAGACCTTCCCCCTTTAACCCTAATGTGTTGTCAAGTGAGTTTTAAACAGTAATATATGTGTGCTGAGTCCCTGGACTATCCTGAGTCAGACTGCACAACCATGTATTTCCTCTGTCTAAGAGAAAAGAACACAAATAAATATAATAATATAATAATTGTCCCCTCTTCCTTCACCTGAATCTTTCTGTCATAGCTGACAATTGATGATATCAAAACAATTATAATTTCATCGACAAATGCTTAAGTCATAAAGTACTGTATACATTAACAGCATTTTATTTATGTGTATGGCATTCGTTTAGAAAATGTGCAAAATAATTCTCATCCTTTGCTACCAGATTAGAAAACATCAGTTATCCACGAATCACTGATTCTTCCCAAATAGTGAATCGACTGATATTAGATGGAGTTTTAACAGGTGGCTATGATGCTTTAAAAAGCTGGTGAAACTGCAGATTGTATGATATTGTTTCACACCATTTACTGCCCTATATTTAAGTCTCAATCTGTACTGGCTTTGTATATTATAGTTGATTTGTAGAGCCAGAGTTTTGTTACTGTTTTATAATAATACGATTTTAAACTCTAATTCTTCATATCTTCCTATGGCCAGAGATGTTTTGTTTTAACCTTAAACCAGAAAATTGAGCGTGCAGGTATTTGAGTGTGTATTGAATCGGACTCAGGCCTGACCATAACAACACAGTGAATCAACCTTATCTAATCAAACTAAAGCCTTCATAATAAAAGCAATGCATAGTCACGAGGGACACAGTTAAGACGTTCAGTAAGGACAATAAGGCAATAGAACAGTTAGGGAGTAATGAATATTAACCAATCAGCTATCAGACATCACCATCTCTAAAAAACACTGATGTTTTTTTAAATTCCTTCACAAAGGTATTAAAATAATTAAATATAAAGTAGGTTTGGCTGATTGTTCATGGTGTGGGTATGGTAACAATTTCTAAAGCGGTTCTTGGTTGTCCCTTACTGGTACTGTGGGAAATAACACTTGTAATCTGCCGCAGGATGTCGAATTAAATCAAATATCGGAAATCTAAGGTTACAAAATAAAAGCTTATGCTTTCAAGCTGTTTTTTCAGCTTAACACATAATACACAGTTTGTCTCTATGTTCCCGACCAGACAGATTAAGCAGGATGTTAATTGTGGCCTCTTGTTACTGTGTTCAGTAATCAAACTACCAAGTGCTTTATGTATTTAGAGAAATACCTGTCTGTGCACCATGACATGTCTGTTTCATGCTAAACCGCAAACAGTGCGTTTTTAAAAAATATTTTCCCTATGAATTACCCATAAAATGAATACTGCACAGCTGGAGAAGGTCTGTTGATTTTAAAGCACACTATTACAGCAGCCAACACACACCTCCGGTCGAATATACTGTAAATCATAGTGTGCATAAATAAATCTCTGAGAGTACTGTTGAGTTGAGGTTTCAGCTCTGCAGTATGTGTTTATAATGAGCTAATTAATACCCACATATTAAATGTAATTTTTAGTCACACAAATTACTACAGTTATGTTGTGTGTTGTATAACTCTAACCCTGTGAGTGCACAGTATTATTTCACACTTGCAATACTTTTCTTTTGCTAATATGCAGGCCGCTTCACTGAACTAAAACCATTCTTACACTTTTCCATGAGCTGTTTGTCCCTTTTGCGATAAGTTACCGAGGTTAATGCTGCTCACGTCCCTACTCAGTCCATATTGCACAGTTTTCAAATAGAAAAAAATACATATCATATATCATATACATGATAATATTAACCAAAAACAGTGACTGCGGTCTGTGTCAGGAATTCTTCTCATCTTTGTGGCAATTCAATCAGTGATAGTGAAACAAATGCATGGAAAGTAAAGTGTGTATTAATAACCTTGTTGCTACATGTGGTGGAAACATCAGAGTGGTGTTGCAGATGATGTAGTACATTACCAGTGAACCTTTTCCATGTTTGCATATCCATTCAGCATGCATTTATGATTAATGGCAACACAGTCATTGTATTTCTGTTTGTGGCTGTGAATGTAAACGATGGGAAAAAAAGGAAGAGGCATCAGAAAAAGAAGAAATTAGATATCTGACAGTGATGTTAGGTCTATACAAAATATTGGCACATTATCTTATAAACAGTAGACTGGATGATGATCGTGTTGTCTAAGTTTTACTACTTAAACAAAGGAATCATCCAGTCTTTTCTCTCATGTTTCACAGTATTAAAAGTGCACTAACTGCCAAACTATACCATTTTTTTCGATTGTAATATTTCTGATCACGTCGCTCTTCTAAAATGTGCTGCACTCTTTCAATGCTGCTCATCAATGCCGCTTTCATCTCTTTGTTACCGGCAGTGACCTTACGCGCTCCTGACCTTCCTCACACCTGCGTCTCCACACCGTTAAGCTTAGGCATCAGGATACGAGGAGTCACACCGGAGTTGAGGTCCCTCTCGAACTCCAAAAGCTGGCCCATGAAGTTTAGATTCGGGGACACCACTGGGCGACGACTCCGCACATATTTGTAGGCATCTGTCATTGTCATGAGGGTGTGCTTCATAAGGTAGGCGATGACAATGGTTGCAGAACGGGACACGCCTGCCTGGCAGTGTACCAACACTCCCTGTCCACTCTGATATGCCTCCTCTGTTGAGGAGAACAACAAAACAGATTTAAAACTGGCTTAGCATTGCATGCTGTGAATATAGAAAATCTCATCACTGTTTCATCAAAGGGAAAGATTTGTCAACCCCATCTCTATCTGAGTTATGAATATAGTGTGAAAAACGCCTGCTTTTTTTGCCGACGTCATCTGTCTCTAGGGCGCAGCTGCAAAATCGGTTGTTCTTCTGAATACAGTGACATGACAGTGACGTTGCTGGAGGCAAGAAAGAAATACAGAGTGCTACTTCAGCTTTGGTAGCCGTGGGGCACAATGCCACTCAAACACTGCCTTGTTCTCTTCGCTTGTGTTTTGTTTCCAACAGCGAAAATGTCATTCCAAAATGCAGAGGATGTTATTGACGATGATTTGTACAGTCTACATAATTTTACGGTGTTTTGGCTGACTCGGATATTACGATGAGTTTACAAGCCATTTAAGCCTGTCTCAGTTTGTCTGTCTTAACTAGCTATTGATGTTCAAATTTGTTTAGATTGAAGATCAATGCAGTCTCTATCTTCTAAATGAACTCGCAAAAACAAAATGTCTCTCACCAATGAACTCAAAAACCTCCTCAAAGTATTGTCGAAGGTTTTGCTTGCTGTTATCGGTGGCTGGCAGCCTTTTGTAGCGCAGTCCAGAGTTGACGTGGTAGAGGGGCAGGTGTGTGGTCACGTTGACCACGAAGCCGATGTTGAGGCGCAGCAGCAGGTCCAAGTCCTGGGCGTCTCTCTCGTTCCCCAGAAACAGGAAGGGCAGGATGGGACTGACCACGGCGTTCTCCGCATCAGGAGTCATCGCGGTCTCATCGGACAGAGAAGCCGGCAAAGAAGAGGACAGCGGCAGAGACAGGTGCACTGGAAGATGACGAGACAAAGAGAAACATTTATTCTGCAGTCTGTGCTGCCACGGAGCAAGAAATGACAAAGTTAAGTGACTAAATCGCCAATGAAATCACTCATTCAAAACTGGGTCAAATTAGTCAGAACGCTAATTATCAGTATTATTTGGCCATAAAAGAGTTCTGCTCGTTAGCACTTTGATTATTTCATAACTTAAATAAAATTAACGGAGATCAAGACAAGCTAGATGTTCCCAAATGTGGGTGAATCTTTTGAAAAACGGCAGATTATTCAATACCTCAAGGAGGAACGGGCTAAGAATCATGACAGCATATGCCAAACTCAGAAAGGTTGCACATCTCCAACTAAAAACTAACCAACAGGAATTTTACTTCTAAATGACATTCAACCCATATGACCCATCTTTATGTCACTGATTGCAATTAAAAATTAGTTACTTCATAGATATTATGAATATTTTACCACTTCCACTTAGGTGAATTGTAAGATATTCTTACTTCTGCCGTTGTCCTCATCTTGCTCTCTGTTCAGGGAGTTGAGGGCCAGGTGAAGGGACTGAGCTGTCGGCAGGGAATGTCCTCCCTCCCTGTCTCTCTGCCAGGGTCTGGGTTTGATGAGTGTGTTCGGGTTGGACGGTGGAGGAGAAAAGTTAACAGGTGACGGTGGAGAGGAAGAGCGGGGAGACGGGGAGCGTGGATATGCTGCATCTCCGTCTTGCCCCGTTTCTACATCTTCTGCTTTATTCAAGAGCCTCTTCAGTGAGTTCTGGCCTTCGTCACACCCAGATCCTGACCTGCGGCCCATAAAATCAAGAGCAGCCATTTTCCCCTGCTGAAGCCGCCGTCGACCAGCACGGTCTGTAAACTGAGACTGGCCATATTCCTGGAGGTTTTGACAGTCCAGGAGGGCAAGACCTGTTCCGTGACTGCCATTTTGGACCTGGGTTGCACAGGTCTTCCTCACTCCTACTCCCACCCCGGCACAGTGATTCTTTTGGGCTTTAGAATGGGTCATCTTCTTGGCCAGTTCTTCGGGCCAGATAGTACGCACGCTGTAGTCGTCATCATCGGCTTGGAACATACCCATCTGATGAGCTGCTCCAACACCTCTACCTGGGGGTTTGCCTCTGCGAGGGTTAAATGTCACCACAATGGGGTCGCTGCTACAATAGCTACAGGTGGAGCTGCCTGTCTGAGAGGCTTTGGGGTTGCAGCCTGTGACGCAGCTCTGTATCGCCCGGAGAGGGGCCGAGGAGGACAGCGGGGTGCAGGGCAGGCATCCCCCTACCAGTTTTTTGCGAAGGATAGCAGGACTCTCAAAGTTTCTGGCCTCACCAGAGCAGGAGGCACAGCGGAGAGGTTTGAACAGGTTTGCTCGGCAGTCAGACACAGTGCTGTTAGAAGAGGAGGTGTTGGAGGTGGAGGTGGTGGAGAGACACCCACCCAGATTTCTCAGGCCCATGTCTTTGCCTCCTTTCTTCACTGCTCCGGCATTATGAACACAGGAAAATGAGGTGGAAGAGCTTCCTCCACCCCCTTGGCAGTTGGCAGAGTGTCCCTTACACCCTCTGCATCTTACCAACCTCCAGCAGCCACAACTGAATGGGTGGGTGCAGTCGATGGTGCAGGTATGGTCAGGGCTCGGGAACCCTCCGGCGTGGGAGGAGCAGGGGGAGAGGGGTAGACCATGAAGAATGTGAGGGCGGAGATCCCTGGTGCGGGACGTGTGCGGCTGGCTGAGTTGCTGAAATGGGCCTGGGACATGGGTGGGTTGGGAGGGAGGGGATGACGGATAGTTTGAATTTAGAATGGCGGCATGGGGCACAGGGACGGAATTTTGGTGGTAGGGCAGACTGTGGCTATTATGGCTTTGATGGACAGTTCCCAGTTTGGAATTGTTCTTGTGACCTAGAGAGGGAAATTCCTGGTCACTTCTGTTAAGAAAACTAGTGTTTTCCTTTTCACTCCGCAACCTATGCTGCTGCGCCTGAGCTGGGACGAATTGTAGGATGCCTCCGGGGGAAGACGACAGCTGAGTATGGCGACTTCGCTGTGACTTGTGTTCGGCACCACCTGGCCTCCCTGCAGTTCCAGTCTTTTTCTCACATTGTGCTTGATCCAACTGTGAAGAGACACATTTCCCTCGGCCACCTTTTATAATTCCGCTGCGCCCTAACGAGTTGCTGATTCCTCCTCCCCGTCCTCCTTTGTCCACCGTCACCCTGATATCAATAGTATGTGTATGGGAGGGCAGCCGTGGGGCGAGAGTTACTGTGCCATTGCTATGGCAGTGGCTAGGGATGTGTCTGACACCTGCTGGGACGACAGGTTGATCGCTCTTGAATTTCTGCACACGAGAGGGTCTGCGATTGCATTCCAGAGTCAGAGGTTTACACGGGGGTGCATAGAAATGGACCTGCGAAGAGTTGAGATGAGGATGGTGTCCATTGGAAGAGGCTGATATTTGAGAGGAGTGCTGCGGGATGGTTTGCGGGGAAGCTTCACACAGGGTTATGTTTTTAGGGCGCTGAATGACCACTATACGCTCATCAAGAGGGAGGGGAGGCATCTGGGTTTATGCAAAGCTGTCCAATGACGAGGGAGAGAGAGACAGAAAGAGAGTAGTCAGGAAATTACTGCAATTCTACAAACCATGGAAATGTGGGGCGCACTTTACATTCCATCATTTTAGACACAAACAGCACATGCTGATGCAAAATTCCAAATATTGCTTTGCAGCAATGAAATATTGATATGATACAGTGCATGATGAGCATAGGTTTTCTATTAATATAGTACGTTACAATACTTTGTAATTGCATTATAAAAGAATAAAGGTAAATTATTTGTGAAATGTAAAGTAAAACCACAAATCCACCACAAGAATGACAACACACTGATTTTTATGTTTTGCATATAAATCTAACTAATCTCTCCTCTCCATCTACAAAACACACCAAGAACAAATACAAAACCAACAACCAATACTGTCGCATGTCAGGTTTTTTCATGAACATGTCGCACATATTTCCTTTTACATTTGCTGCAAATGAAAGGATAACTTGCATGAAGAGAAAACCCACTGAGGTGCATGTTTGAGTTGAATGGATAACACTGTAATGATTATGTTTCCCAAATTCATTTCAACATGCACATCACAGTCTTTTACCTGCTTATAACAGGGCCACTTGCCAGACATGTAATGCTCATCTATATTTGCAGGACTTTGACGTTCAAATGTGAACTGTTTCCCAGTGACATCATTACCATTTAGGACGTAAAAATGCAAATCCAAAGGTGCAAGAGTGTGTACCTGTTTGCTGTTAGCAGCAAATAATCCCAGCTAATCCTGATGGCAGTGAGGCTTCTTAAAAGCTCAGTCACAAAAGCTGCACCAACCGAGCTGCATCCCTCCGATGAGTCCTCATTCTTAACAAGACGCATTCAGTTGCAGAAATAATAAGCCAAGCCAAGTCATGGCAGATGGTAAAAATAGCTTAATATACTGTAAACATAGCTGGACTGTACATGTTCACTGCTCTCGATGTAGAGGTTATGAACAACAATCCTGTGTATGTCAATGCTTCTGTAATGTGTACATTTTATGTTTATGCACTACTTACAATTGACAAAAATCATCTTGCACAGCTGTCTTTGCACAGACACAGACACTGTGACCCTCAAAGTTAGCTGAAGGCTCAGTGGGATTCTTCACTTTAAAGACTGTTGAATGCTGAAGAGCCATGCGATTACCTGAAACGAAACATTTCCTGCTCCCAGCCATCTAGCCTGTGCATTCTGAATTATATGGGCCAATTAGAGATGAGCATTTGTCCAGGTCATGGTATAAACAGAAGGTCATCACATACACAACAATACAACTCAGCTGGAGAGAAAGCTTTCTCACCGTGACACAGCAAAAAGAGATTAATTGAATGTAGTTTATAAATATGCACTTTGTAATAGAATACATACGGAAGATTTTTTTCTTTCATTATGATTAATATGATTAATAACAGGTACAGGACTTTGGACTCTACGATACTAATTCGGTACATTCATTATAAGGCTGCTCTGAAGATGAAAAAGTATTGTCGTTAAAGTAAAAATCCACCCTCTGATACACACACCGTTAAATACAATCAATCTGAGATGTTCACTGCACCCAGGAGTTTTTTGGTTGATGAAGTACTTTAAAATTAGTTTTTGCCACACTAGCTGTAGGGGTGGCTATGCTGGTTTGTTTGGAGGATATTAGCATGCCAATGTTAGCATTGAGTTCAAAGCACAGCTAGGGCAAACAAAAGAACAAACAAAGAGTTCTGTTTTGAAGGAGAGCAAGAAACTTCCCAGTCGAGAAAAAAGATCTGCGTTTTACTGCGGACAAAACAAGTATGCAGTTTGTTTGGCATTCTAGTCTGTTGAGGCTATTTGTATCTCTGCCTTGTGTTTGATGGATTTCTCCCCATGAGATTGTAAGAAGTTGGTGATGAGTGTAGAAAGAAGCACTTGCTCTTTGATTGTGATGGGCTGATACCAAAACCTGAGTTTTGACCTTCGATGTTTTAGATCAGTTACCATTTTACTGAATTTAAAGGGTCGGTTCACATTATAAAAGGACATATTTTAACCATGTTAGTGGCTCTAGGGATGGCAATGTTGTCGGTCCGACCACCACTTTGGTCCAGACTGAAGTGCCTCAATAACCAGTTGATGGATTACCATGACATTTTGTACAAACATTCATGGTCCCCAGAGGTGAATCCTTGTGAAATGGCGTTGAATGGATTGCCATAAAGATTGGTACAGACATTTGTTTCCCTAAAGGATGAATTCTAGTATTTTTGATGATCCCTTAACTTTTCATTTAGCACCATCATCAGCTCAATAGTAGCTTTATAGTTCAATATTTTGGTTTATGAACAAAGACCTGCATAACTAATATCAGCCTCAGCTGTAATTTGTTAGCAAAATGTTAGCATGCTAACACGCGAAACTAAGATGGCGAACATAGTAACCATTATACATGCTTAACATCAGCATGTCAGCATTGACATTGTGAGAATGTTAGCACGCTGATATTAGCATTCAGCTCAAAGCACAGCTGTGGCTAAATACTTCCTAATAGAGTCGCTAGCATGGCTATAGACCCTTAGTCTTCTTTTTTTCTAAAATGTAATTGTCAGTTCACATTACAAAACATATTTTCTTATGCACTCTTGGCGATATCTAGCATTGGGATAGAGCCAGAAATTACAGAGATGGATATCTCAAAAGCTCTACAACTAAAACACAATCAATATGCAAGGCTAAATACCACTAGAGTAAGTGAGAAAATATATTTTTGTGTCATTTAGACAAAGCCACTCTTTAAACTCCACAATAGAGGAGGTGGAGATTTACCTACCACATAGCATTGTTCAGATTTGGCCACCAAACAACATGCTAGCCTGCAATTGCAACGTACATCAAATATAGCTGTTTTTAAACAGTGTTTGTTATGGTGGATTTTCTTTTTAACCACAAGCCCTTCAGGGCATATTTAGCGAGAATATCTCAGGGAATGGAAGACCGAAAAGTTAAAAGAGGGACTGGGAAGACGAGATACTGAAAACAACACTGGCTGACAGAAACAAAGTGGGTCGAGAGAAGATACAGGGGGACAGATTATAACGTGACACTGTAAACCACAGACTACAGGGGAGGAAGGAACATGTCAAAAATAATATGGGGATGCCTTCAGTCCCAACACAACACAGATACCAACCCATGGAAAAAGCAAACCACGCTCCAGTGTCCCCATGCTTATATCCACGCACAGAGTCTGGTGATGGTATCCTCGTCTTTTTTCCCTTTTTCAGCCTTGCCTGTGGTGGAGGGGGTGGGGGTTACATTGACCCAGTTTTATCATGGTGGAAGTCACTATCACTCTGATCACTTTGCTCTCACACACTGTAAACTGCAGGCTGGCTAGTGGCCTTTTCACTCACTCATAGTCACAGCTTCAGCAGACAGTAAGGGCCACACAGAGATGGAAAATATTAAAACAAAGGGATGCCTCTTGAAATTTCGCTGCCACATGTTGACATGAGCAAAAATAAAATATGATGAACTACAGACTATAGTGAAGCGTTACTCTGAAATGATTACCCCATATTATGGGCTAATAACTGTGACGACTAGAAAGTGTCAGCATCATTAATACATACAGTCAAATCTGCAACAGGAAAACAAACAGACAACCATTACAATGATTTGCTTCTCAGACAAATAATCTTAGAAATCTTCATAATTTATTTTGTGTGTGGTACATTTATTAATGATGCTTCAAATGCAATGTGAAAGGCTTATAAAGTGCATAAAATGCTTTTGTTTTACTTTGCATTTTTCATGTGTTTGCCTGTGCTGGGACTTCAAATCTCTACTTTTTCTCTGCTTCAGTTATTATTTACTTTTCAGATTAAGACTGACACAAAAACCTGTGTCTGGTTGGGGCACCTTGTCTCGTTTCAGATGTGTGTAAGTTGTTAGCAGTACCACCAGAGAGACAATTTCCTTCTAATCTTCTCCATTCAAATCATACAGTATTCCTTTCCTGTCCCATTGATTATGTCACAATTTGTTTTTGTGACCCTTTAGAGGGGGCCTGACTCCTCACTAGACTGTAGGCCTTTTTAAAGTAGTAAAAAACTGTTCTACCTTGACCAGCTACAACAGTTAAATGCTACATATACTACACATTGGTGCTTCAGTATCTATCATACAATCTAATATATAATAAATAGTCACGAGGGACATTTTTCTGTAGAATGAGTAACTTTTGTTTTGATACTGAAGATACTGGTTTAAGACAAGTAAAATGTTGACGGAACAAGACAAACACTGTTGAGAATTTAAATATCTTGCCATCTCTGTGCATTTGTTCACTGCACCTGAGGGCAGCTAGTTTCCACCGACGAGAATAAAACTGCAAAATGGTGTGAGCGCTGTTGATTAGAAGGTTAATTAAAATGGTGTTTAATTAACTGTGTTCATGTGAAATCCCTCCAGTTGGTCTTTCCAACACATTGTTAGAATCTGATAAAAGGCTATAAGCTTACTCTGTTACGCTTGCTGTGATTGTTTTTCGAAAATTGCCTCAATCTGCTTCACTTTACAATTACAGCCAAGCAGTAGAGGTGGCATCCATCTGACAGCTCAACAACAGCGAGCAAAAGGGGAACTGAGTTTGACTCCGGGGCTGTCAGACAATCTGTGATGTATAACTGTAATACTGTAGACATATGGCCAGGCTACAACTCAGCACAATAAGGAACTCCTAAACATGTGTGTGTTTGTACTCACTAGGTAGCTCATCCCTTTCTAAAAGTCACAGCTGAGTAGCAAGTGTATGACTGCAGCAATATTCTACATCAGACAGCTCATATCAGTATGTGAGATTGCATAGTGTGTCGACAGGCATAATTGACATCAGAAGTTTACAGTAAAGTGTGAATAAGTCATGAGTTCCTTTCAGAAGAACTGAGACATAACAGCATCCTCTAAGAACGTTCTGACAGAGTTAGCTACTTAGGCTGAGCAACCAAAAATGTCGCAGGATGGATCAAGGAGTGGAGAGGAAAATGTATGCGCGTGATTAGGTGTGCATTAATATTTAAGGGAAAAAGGCTAACGTATGCTAAGCTTGGCAATCACGTTTGCTGCCTCAGAATTCGAGCACATGAAAGTGAAAAAGCAAAGCAATTCAGATAAAAGGAAATGTTTTAAAAAAAGAAGAAGAGTGCCACTCAGTTCCTGTTAGCGGGAACTGCATGAGCCTGCGGGGGAGATCATGACGCCCTCCCTCGCCTCACTGCTACCCCACCAGCAGAATAAAGATAACAGCTTTACAGTCACAGGCATAAGCCAGAGAGAGGAGAGCGGTACACATGCTAATGTGTTTCCAGATGATTTAACTCCTTCCCAAGCACCTGAGCAAAACCTGCAATATCATGAATAGTTATAATTAGCTTGCTTAGCGCCCCTGAACTGTGTAATATTTCATAAAACAAAATTCAATCAGAGCTGGTGTTATTTTGTGTTGAGTACCATATATAGTCATTAATTTTGTCTTGATAAGTTAAAAAAGGAACAGAACACAGCGTGTACTGTTGAAATGATGCAGCCTCACATGGGACAGGAGGACAGTGCATGACTTATAGTAAAGAATCTCACAGTGCACCACAGTAGTCAGGTACAGTGTAGATTTAGGGGTACACAGTGCGTCTTCGGCTGCAGAGGCGGAGAAGTGAGTGTTTCGTGAGTGTTTTCGGGAACAGATGGTTGTCTGGCTGTACAAGATTGATGGGGATCGTTCCGTTCCCTCTCCCCGCCCCGGCTTAATGCAGCACCTTCATCAAAAAGACACCTAACAGCCAAACACCCACGCAGCAGAGTGGACAACACCAGAGCAAAAACCCGGCAATATAATGTGAGGATGTGCAGCTCAATTATGGGCTTGTGAAATTGCTTGAGTGAGAGAATGTCTTCCTCTGCGGCTGAACAAGATTATTTTTTATCAAAGTAAGAAAAAAGAAAAAAAGAAAGAAAAAAGGCGCTTGAGATAGTGGATGGCAGGAAAATTAGTCATCAGAGTTACTTGTTTCCAGAGGCTGATGAGCAAGCCGTTTCTGTCAGAGGACAATCCACAGCTTCATATTTTTGCTTGTGTTCGGCACGAAATGACAGGTCCACTTCTGTCTTTATATGTTCACACACAGAACCAAACGGACAGACAGACACTGGGCACGAAGGGGAAAGGCACTTGTATGTTCACAACAAAAAAATACCTAACAGTATTGAGGGTCAAGCAGTCGGTGTCACAGATCCGACAGTATATTCTATATCCACACACACAGACTCAGCTGCTGTGGAGCTGCTGTTATAACTGAAATCAATGAACAAGTTCAATCATGAAGCAGGTTGCTGGGGAGAGGACCGCCGTGTCAACATGTGAAGTGTAAATAAAAAAGTGCCTTGATGGATTTGTGCTGTCAGCAAACTGACAAGTGTTACTGACCAGATATGCTGCACAACTAAGCTAACAGGCACTGGACGGTGTAAACTGTGTCTCAGGTGTCGCTGGCCTCTAGCCACTGTAACCTTGTCTCCCTTCAGCAGCCAAAGCAGTTGTGGAATCGTAATGAAACCAATAACACTTAATATGTATGCCAAACTGCTGAATTAATTTTAAACCAGCAATAAACTGTTGGTTAATACATAACTTTATGGGCTAAATAATGCAATTACACAATGCAATGCAATGCACAGTGCAGTTAAACGTTTTTGTTTTGTAGGGATTAAAGCTACAGTTTGTAACTTAAATATAAATAACATTTTGTCATATTTGTCAAACTGTCACTATATCCTGAGTAGTGCATGAGACAGATAATCTGTGAAAGATTCTGGTTCGTCCGCCTCCTTTTAGCACTCCTAACGGCATTTGCAAGATTCCACCTCGTCCGAATGAAAACGACCAATCAAGAGCCGCGGAGTCTCTAACGCAGCTGTCAATCACTGCTTGTGAAGCTCCTGAACCGTCTCGATCAAACCGTCAAAGTAGACGACATAATTTGAAGGTGGTGACACATACAAACAAAGTGAAGTTAACGCTACGTTACCAGAACAAGTGGAGTGGGACAATAGGGAAAAAAAGGACGAAAATTAAATGAAAGGACAAAAGGATAAATCTGGGTTGTATGTTGACTGACAGTAATTATGACTCGCACTCTTATCAGGCTTAGGTCACACATCTAATGATGTAAGATTTTTTTGGGACAAAGGAAAACGACTTGCAACTTGAATCCCTGCTGTATGTGATGACTTGGTTGTGACCCAGATGCCCAAATGTTAGCATGTTTACTCAACAATGCCATTATAACGGTACAATCATGACACACAAGGATGAGCCTTGTGTTGATTAGTAAGCATTCTTAAAACGTTGCCTCATGTCTAAAACACAGGTCCTATTCTTTCTTTGGTTCTGATTCCACATCTCACTTTTGCATTAATCCTAAATGACTTGAAAAGACAAATAAATCTTTACTGCTAATCTGTGTTAGCGTGTTGCTAAATTTGCCTTTTCCCTGTAAACAGATTTGTTTCACTGTCTCATCAGAACTCACACCACTACAGGCTACTGAGGGGAAGTCAGAATAATTACATCACCTAATCTCCACAGTCAGCGGACAGACAGTGATGGAAGCAACTGCACGAACTGGCCAATCGGTGGGCAGCGTGATCGGGAACATCGAGCTATCCCTCATTTCCCTCCTCTATTCAGTCAAAACTGGTTTAACACTGAGACTAGTACCTGACTTTGAGGACAGACAGTGTCATAATCCCCACATCCAATTGTTATTTTTATTACATTATGTTATAGGAGATACAATGAGATCGGTGGCACTTTGGCTGCAGAGCAATATGTTTTCAGGGTGGCCCAATTTAGACATATTGAAAAAAAATCACTCAATCAAATATTTGAATCAAGGAGCAAAGCAGTGCTAATCAGTTACAGACAGCACCAACAGCCCAGGGATTTTTCAAATAGGCTACTGTGTGCCTGCACAAAGTCATGGCACATTGTGATGTTGAAAGTATTTCAATTGAATAAAGAAATCCACAAAAATGACTGAATCCTAAAATAGAATACCAAGAATAGAAAGTGACAAAAGCAGCTTGGGGAAAGGATTGGTGGTTGGTAGGGATGTGAGCCCTGTCACATATAGATAAGAAGAGCAGTAATGCTTTGAATACATTTAAAAATATTTGAAGAATTAAAAAAGCACACTGTCATGGTTGCTGTGTAATCAACTGACATTGGAAACCCCAGATCTGAACACCACAAAGATGTAGTGTTATGCTTGTGCCGAGGCATCTCTGTCCACCAAATGTCCCTCCAAACTGTAATTTTCTGACATGATGGATTTGTGCAAACAAACAGTCAAAAAGACAGACAGGCATGAAAAACATATTCAGATGAATAGGCTGAGACAACAGCCAAACAAACGTGGTCTAATATTACACGCTGAAAGCCTCTGTGTGTATTTGATCGTTTTTTGTTTCAGAGTGTATTTTGATCTGAACCAGGGAAGGAGTTTCTGCATTGTAAGAATCCAGGAACTTGTTGGATCTAGCAAGCACACGTCCAGCGAGTCCCCAAAACATATGGATCCCGGCCAGGCCTTTTCCTCTCACAAAAATAACACCAAAAACAATCCGACAATTCTATTTTACAGCAACATCTGTTATAGCCGCAGTGTGGTAACAACAGTCTGTTTCTTTTCCCCCTCTGGAAATAATGCAAGACCATCTTCATATATGTTCATATCCTCGAAGAAAACCTCAAAGAAAGTAAAAGTGTGCATGAAAACATTAATAACACAGGAAACCCTGAGGCAGTCACAGTCGGTCTTGCAGGGCCATCATTTAGAAGAAGGGACGCTGAATGAAATTATCATTATTAATGGTGGGAGTCATTCTAAGGTTAAATGGATCATTTTAATTTTCAGCTCCCAGGCCACACAGAACTTATCTTCAATTGTGCGCTCCACAAATAATCCATCCCCTGTCTACCGGTTCGTTCCTATTCAGAGTCACCAAAGATTATCCCAGCATGCACCGGGTAAAAGGCAGGGCAACAGCAGAGGCTACCAGTCCATGTCATCTGTAGGCAGTTTAGAGTTTGTTCTCTACCCGAACTGAGTGTCTATAGCCTGTGGGAGTAGACTGGAGCAGCTAGAGAATATGATATGCAAACTAGAGCTGAAACAATGAATCCGCAACTATTTTGAGAAGCAATCATTAAAAATTACAAACATTTTTTAAGTTCTTAAATGTTAAGATTTGCTGCTTTTCCTCGTCTTACGTCACAGTAAATTAAAGTATTTGGGTTTGGACAAAAAAAAGGATATTCTTCACTTTTTTCTAAAGTTCTAATTAATCAAGATGATAATCCTTAGTTGCAACCCTAATATCAACTCCTCACCGGGAAGACCGGGGCTTACAACTTCATATTATTAGGTGATAATGCTGTTCATTATGCCGTTGCCTTAACTCCACACAATCATTTTGGCAAAATATTTGGCACTGTGTTCGTTCTTGGGTAGGAATCTTAAAGTAAAGTCCATAGCTGTGCATTTCATAAATATATTTCATAAATAGCTTCTAAATACTGTCAGGGCCATTCAGTTCCTCTCCCTGAACAATCCCTGTTTCATTGTAAATAGATTGTTGATTAAGTAATGTTGAATTAATTAGTGGTTTTTTTTACCTTTGCATTCATGTAGAATGTAAGATCTGAATATGCACTGCATCGTTCCTGAGAGATTCGAAGCCGATTTAATTAATGTTCCATTGAAGCATCACACCGTCATCGTGGTTTTAAAATGGGGAAAGCAGTGAGTCACCTTCACAGTCTCTTTTTTTCAGGCCAGAAAGCCACAAATCTGAACTAAAAGCAGCTCCAAACTGTGAGCCGGAGGGTCGGATGATTAGTTTAAACTACACACCTCAAGTGACCCTGTCATGTTACGGAGCCGTATTAACGTCAGTAACATTGGTTAATGCTGGTTTAAGTTTTGATTTGGTTTGCATGTCCTTACACAAACTGCAGTGACTCTTATGTGTCTTGCTTGTCAAGTGTGTGTGTCTGCTCCTTCATCTCTAACACATCCTTTTACTTACTTTCAGTTCTGCTTAATTTGTGCACCACTGGCAATGCTGACAGAGATGAGAGCCTCCACTATGAAATGCATGTCAATAAATCACTTGCTGATGCTATTTATAATAATGTGCTCACATGCTGCACATCTCTCCTGCCCTGCCTCTCATCCGCTCCTTGTAGCATCTCATCAGCAAAACCGCAAGCAGAAATAAACCAGCTATTAATATTTACATTCTTCCTCTGCATTGTTGTTCACAGAGCTGCTCTGCGGGCCAGCAATGCAAAATATATTAGTTCCTGTTCATACAGTCGCCAGATGGCGCACTACCTAGTTTCTCAGTATTTTTAATGGCATCTTCGCTGCACATTCTTTGAACCTTTTTACCATGATGACAAACAAAGCTGATGTGGGCGACAGGGCCCGGGCCGGCAGGCCCGTACGGTCACTTACTCACTGCGACCAAGTGTGGATGTGTATAATTATGGTCCATTTGTTATTCCATACTTGGCTCTTTTCACATGGCTGCAGTCCTCCTTCCATAAATAACACACGCTCATTACGGAGAAACAATCACAGCTGCTGACCGCCTTCGAGCAGCGGCGATCAACACGAGGATGCATTGCGTGGTTTGAACATGTGACGTTAATTTGACAGCGAATTAAAAATACATCGAGACACTGAGGAGGCGCCTGATTCTGTGCTGTGAGCTAAAGCGGACCAACACGTAGTGCTGTGACAGCCGCGCTGCACTCTCACGGGCTGCAAGGCCGACCGGAACGACCACCGCGATAAGTAACATTACGAAAAATAAAACTAAAAAAAAACAGAAGCATCACTTACATCAAGCGTGGCAGTCCCGAAGTGTTTTCATCATATATGCGCTGCGGAATGAGAGATCCTCATGTCGGACGGGGCTCGAGTAGCACGACCCGCTGCGTTGGTTTGATCCAGATGTGTAACACCTTCCCTGCCTGCTCGTTTGTTCATGTATTTAAAAATAAAAAAAATAAAAAAAAATGAGATTGAGCTTGAATAGAAGATGCACAGCTCTGCCAGACTTGAGATAAATAAGATGCATAAATAAATGTAATCAGGGGTGCTTGGCTAACTCAGCTGGCGTCACGTCTGAGCGTGTGTCACTCTGAGCTGCGGTGCGTGTGTGAGGAGACACTGACGGGGAGGTGGGCTCTATTGTCTCTACTGTGGATGACATCATCCCAGACCAATGGCGAAACACACGAGATGAAGGGCTCAGGGGCGAGCACGCAGCACGTGCGCTGGTGGAGGAGCAGGAGGGGTTGTTGTTGAACCGACAACTTGCATATCTTGAAGATATCCTAAAGTGTATGACAGAGCAACTCAGTACTGTTCTGATGTTCAGTACTGTACTCGAGTAAATTTGAGGTACTTTGTGTATTTACATATTCTTTATACTTCTACTACATTACTTTTCTCAGGGAAGTAGCCTCTTGTACTTTTTATTCCACTACATTTGCTTAACAGCAGTTTAATTCATCTTTCCAAAAGTGATAAAAGCAGTAAAGTACAGAGTAATGTGCTGATAGAATAAACAAGATATACAGTATGAACAGTATGAACAGTGTGATATAAATACGCAAAATATATACAGTATGGACAAAAAATATATACTCTGCATTTT